AGCCTAAGTGATCGAGTTTTATTCTTCATTCCTGTGCACAATGTTAGCCTATGCCTGATTTCTTCTTTGTGTCTAGGGCTCGACTGTGGAAGGCGTATGTAAGCAGTTGAGGAACCTGAACGTAATTAGGAATTTTTCCTTGGAGCATTCTGTAACCATAACCTGTGACCCGTCGTTCTCTGCCAGCAATGAGATCCACGTCTGCCTGGTGAGTGCCTCCTTCCACTTTGCCATATTTTTCTCCCTTGCTGACAAATCTTTGATATATAGCCTTTGGTTTGCATTCCCAGCGGCAGTTAAAGATGCTGTAATGGAGTTATATTGTGTTCTGTATTGTAGATGGGCGCCAGTCTTGTAAAGGGATTTTATGACTTATTTTTTTTTTTTTTTTGTTTTTTTTTTCTTTAAATTCAGTCCACTGATGACCATCGCTTGGATCGCAATCCCATCAAAGAGATTATTGACCGGATAATTGACCTGGTGAGCAAGAGGAACGGGAACAACACAATCCTCTCCGCCATCATTAAAGTGCAAGGGCCGAGACCCGGCAAAACTGGTATGAAACCAATTCTTCAGTTCTAGACGTGCACACACTTGATCAGATAGTGCCACACCTTAGATATGACAGCAACACTTAGGCACTAAAGAAAAATGTGTTTATTTAAAAGGCATTTCCTTTCCCCTCCCATGCATGGATCCTCCCAGCTCTGCCATGCAATGGCAGTTGTAGCAGAGCGTTAACAGAGACGATCCAGTAATTCAGGATAAAAAGCAGAGCTGCTTTGCTGTGTGGGTTTAGATGGGTTCTTTGTGAGACTGCATGTGTCCTCCATCCATCAAAATAGTGACAGCAGCCTGTGCCTTAGCCAAAGACGGTGCCTTCTCAACAAAACTCCCCTTTTTTTTTATATTATTTTGCTTCATTTCACTTTATAAGATCATAAGAAGAACATGGAAATGTAAATATATTTGCATGTTTGCATGCAAATATGAATATAAAAATATTGTAACTGAATTTGCCAAGAAGTGGAGCATTACTTAGCTGAACGGATCGGTGGGACAGCTGTTAATTGTTTAAACTTGACCTTTATGACAGGTTGGTCACAAGGAAACCATAAAAGGTCTTTAAATTGTATTTTTTAGGAAGCATTCATTTCTTCAGTCTCACAAAATTAGGTGTAAACTTTCTGACTTGCATGCAAAACGCTGCTAAAACAAAAACACGCATCAGCCACTGCAGCATGATGGTGGAGGAGTCATCTTCAGTGGGATCTTACTAACATGTTCTCTTCTTCCGTCAGATTACCTTGTGCCCCTCCTCTCCTCCATTTTCATCATCATCTGGTTCCTCCTGCTGCTCTCCGTCCTACTATGGTGCATGCGGCGGCGGCGGAAACAGAGCAACCACAACGGGACATCGCCGACCTGCTCCGAGGACAACACCACCAACAACGTGCGGGAGCACCTCAACCAGATCAAGAACCCTATAGAGAAGCACGTGGGTCTGACGGTGGCCATCAAAGACTATGAAAACAAGAACTCAATCATTGCCAAAATAAGGACAAATCATCCCGATGGGGATGAGGACGACAAGGAGAGGCACTTACAGAAGAGCCGCTTCGCCAAACAGCCAGCATACACGCTGGTGGAGAGGGACGAGAAGGCGCCCATCTCCAATCCCAACCCATCGTCCAAGCATCCTAACTGGACTAACAAACAGGACAACAGGGACTTGGAGACGGCAAACAGCATAAACAGGATGGACTATATAGTATAGCAGACAGCTGTGTTGCTGTGCAACCAAGCCTTATTCCTTCACACCCAGGTGGTGGGTGAAAACGGGGAGCCTCGGCATGTGTGGTTATTAAACGGTCATGTCATTTGTTGACCCCCTCAGTATTTTTCACGTATTCCCCGTGTTAATTTAAGTTTTGACAAGCTGGCTTACACTGGCAGTGACGGTTGCTTTCGTTGGCTGGAAACACAAGGCACTGGTCTACATTTCACCGTAGAGCTACTCGCTGAAAGTGTCCTCTGTTGCATTTCATTTCCTCCCCCTGCTTTTTTAAAATCTGTTGGACAAATGGAAACGGGGGGGGGGGGCTTCTGGTGTAATTGTTGTTGAATGACTAAACCTACACGACGTGTTCCACACTAGAGCTAATTAATTTGTTTTAGTAAGCGTTTGAATTCCTTCTAGTTTCATTTGGAGAAAGTGCCTTTTTTCAGCTTTTAGACTCGAGCAACTGTCAAATAAGAGGAGAAAAAAAATCCACTTTATTATTTATTTTAACTTTTTTGGGGCAAGAGAATAGAAATGGTTCAGTGTCAGCGGTTGCTGCCAATATGAAGAATTTATGTGACAATTTAGAACTTGTAGATATGTACATTTTTTATTAATCATTGTGTATATTTGATTTATTAACTTAATAATCAAGAGCCTTAAAGATATCATTCCTTTTTATTTATATGTTCTGTCTAGTTTGAAGGTTCTGATAGCGGCAGTAGCTTTCCATTTCTTTTTAAAACCATTTTTTTTGTTTGATAAAAGGCAAATTTCAAATTTGAGAAGACGAGACGGGAACTTCAACGCCTGAAAACTCCACTCGTTTTTTTTTTTTTTTTTTTAACATTTGACATTTCATTGTTGCCAGGACCTTAATCCAAGCCAAGTGAGGTTAGGACGACAAAAAGATCTCCTTCGGCTGCGAGAGTTGGACATGGTGGCAAACATATTGCTTGCCGCTAATGGATATAAATTAACTTGTAAGGGAACAAAAATTCTTCAGCAGCTTCGGTTTTTAATCCACCCACGTATTTCAAAGGCTGTCGAATTCCCATCTGCTTTAGTCAGCGTGATACTTGAACAGCAGGGGGGCAATGGGAACACTGATGCAAACACTGCCTTCCTCTGCTAACGTTCGCTTTGTTTCTGTGCACATAAAAAAAAAAAGAAAAAAAAAAAGGACGAGGCTCTTTAAAAAAACGTTTTATCTCATTTGTTAACCTTTTAAGATCTTGGCAACAGTTTGTCCTTTCAGACTTCTTTTTGTGTTATGAACTTGAGAGTTATGTGTTGATCTGGCAATATATTTTTTGAAAAGTCATATTTATTAAATATTTTGTATGAAAAGAGAATTAAAAGTTGTCTTTGTTCTGGAGAAATCGAGTTCAGAGTCTGTGTCTGTGACGCATCTGGGGCCAGAACATGTCAGAGCACATTATGAGAGCACTTCTCATGCAGCTGGCGTGGGAACCCAGGCTGGAAACACTTCATAGGCTCCCATCCTGGTCCCTGTCCAAATATGTTTACAGCTAATTGTGTTGTAGCCGGCCATCCTCGCATCAGGTCAGAAATACCTCCACACCCCATGATCCTCTCACAATGTTTCCCCTTGTTAGTCCGGCCCAAAGCTGCGGACTTTCTTTCAAAACCGGACAGACGCGCAGGGATCAGAGTTTAAGGAGAATCTCTTGGGAATATGTTTGACAGGATTAAAACAGAGACCAGGGATTAGCAACACCTCCCTAGGATGACCCTAAAACATTAGGACCCGGCTGATCTAATCCGTCTCCAGGAGAACAGAACTGGCTTCTGATGACGAGTCGTCTCTAGTTACAGCTTCAAATACCGCTGTTGGCCAGACCTCCCTGCAAAGCTGCCATAAGCATTAGCCAATCTGCTCTGTGTTTGAAAGATTATAAAAATGAAATCCAAATTATTCAGTTTTTTTTTTTTTTGCATCATTCCAAGAGTTTTCTTTCGTTGGAAGCTACAAACTCATTGACATAAGAGATGGATTAATACTTTAATCAGTTATATGTGAGACTCAGCTCTTCAAATAACCACTGCTGCTGAAGCAGTTGCTCATATTTAATAGGAATCTATGATAAAAACCACGGTGCTTCGTTGAAATTGTTTTTCATTTTCACAACTGTTAAATTCATTACTTCTGTCATTGATACTAATCCCTGTATTTCACAAACTAGGCATGATCACAAAGGATGCATGGTTTTCATAACTCTTACAAATAATCTGCAAGTGAGGAATCCATTTGTTCTTTGCCCCCTCTAATTAACTCCAGTCTGAGTCGCATAAGTAAATAAGTTGTTCTTTGAAGATCTCCGAGGTTTGTTAGATGACATTAGTAAGAAAACCGCAGCACGGACAAACGAAACGAAAAACCGTGGGAAAGGAGAGGGCCTATCAAAGAAACGGCCAGTGTGCTGAGAGTAGCTCTGGAGGAGCTGCAGGGATCGATAGCTCGGAATGGCCACTCTAAAGCGACCACCACACTGTGAAACAGCGATGGCATCATCGTGCTGTGGCGAAGCTTTCAATGAAACCAAGTCAGAGTTGTTGAGGAAAAATGTTTTAATTGAAGCTTATTTGTACAATAGAATGGACCAGTCAAAGTCAAGATGGTTTCTGCTTAGTCTGACTGAACAAAGCTTTCTGCCAGAAAGTTTGCAAAGCTGTTAATCACATTGCAACGATCAGCTTTAACAACAGGATGTAAACTAAGCCTTAAACTTCTGAACGTGTCTGAGTTTTTTTATTTGGGGCCATCGAAATAAAAGGGGCTGTATACAAACACAAAGCTTTTCAAATTTTATTTCTGGAAAAGAATAAAATACTAAAACTCCTCCTTTCTGCCCTCTCAGTTGAGTCCTACTCTGTGTTTTTCTTAAAATCTCAACAAAATCCATTAAAGTTTATGGATGAAACTTTAAAAAATGTGGGAAAGCTCAAGGGGGGTAAAAACTTTTGCTATACTCTGCATTCGATGGATTAGGAAATATGTATTCAATAAAATTTACATGACAAATGTCTGAAAAAATAAAATAAGAATAGGGTGATGAAATAAGTCTGGAAACTGCCATCAATCACATCAGAGCTTCAGCGGGGATACTGGACCCTTTTCAGACCCGTAGGAGCCAGCATTTCAGACTGAAAGCCATGACGTACTGCACGGCTCCTGACTGTCTCAAACCCCTGAGCTTTAACACAAAACCAAATCTATTCCCCTATAAAGGTTTTTTTTTTTTACTTCATTTGCAGAACTCCGTACTCTATACTTAAAACAGGCCTGTTTTAAGTATTTGTCGAGAGAAAACTCCAATAATTTAGTTTAAATTGACAAAAAGTGGTTAACATTTGATTTAAGTCACAAGAATAATGTGTTAAAAAGAACAAGTAAAGTTTTCTAGAGACCACATGAGCTGCGAGCATGCAGCCTGACAGAATAAAATCTCCAACACCGTGGCGTCAGGGATCTTTCCTTCAGCTTTCCTTTCCCTCTCAGGACCTCTTCGTTCGTCGTAATCTGGAGGTTCTGGGCACGTTTTCACTCCCCTCCACACTGAGTGCAGATCTGGAACCAATAGAGGAGCCCGAGGATGCGGGCTTGACAGATAGGCCCCTCAGACTTGCGGCTGGCCTGTTTTGGTTTGTCTTTGCTGTGTTATTGCTTGTAAGGAGGAGCCTCTGGGCCTGTTTCCCTGGAGTAAGCAGCTCTACTTCCAGTGTGGTTTTCTTGCACTCGGAGACAGGGAAAGCCTTGGACTCTGCCATCACTACGACTGTAGGAAGTGGCAGCGGAGGAGGGAGGTTTTGGTTGGATGTTTGCGAGGTAGAGCGGATTTGCACTGGGGCTGAAGGGCTTCCAAGGCACGTTTTCTTGGCCAGTTGTAAGCCAGGATCTTCCCCAGCATCACTGGGCTCGCACCTCTTGCCGCTCTTCTTTGTTATTTCATGGCTTGACTCATGCTTTTGCTTTTGAGCAGACCGTATCTCAGCCTCAAGTTCAATTAAGGCCTCGCTGCAAGGCACCTTGTGGTTTGCCTCCAGGGGTGCGTTCGGCTCAGACATGGGCACGGCCTCTGGTCTTGGGTCTGAATGCCTAGCTTTATGTTCCAGTTTCTGCTTTTTGGGGAAGCCTCTCTGGTCCATCTGCTGCATCTCAGTCATAGAACCACAGATCTCTTGCTGGACACAGGCTTGTTTGGCTCTACAAAAAAAAAAAAAAGTTTAAAGCATGGAACAAACATTGTGAGCGTCCTCTTTGACTGGTGGGGTTGGAAAGCATTAGATCATACTTACATCTTTTGAAGCACAGACTTCTTTGTTTTTCTCGGGCTGTGTAAAAGCTCTCGGATTTCTCCCACACTGGAAAAATATTCTGATCTGGTTTGCTCACTCAGCTCAGGCTAGAGAGGACAAACAGAATAGGTGTAAACAAAGGGGATTTTGTTGGCTGCATCCCTTGATGGAAGGAGGAAATGTAAATACGTTGTGGGAATGAAGGGAAATAAGGACAATCAGAAGAAAAAATATGAATCTATTCTGGATACAAGAGATTTTCATGAAATTGAGGGGAAAAAAGCTGATATTTGGTTCCTTAAAGGGTTAAATCTTAAAGTTTAATATATCCACATACTCTAGGGGGGAGCCTGTGAGGCAGAACCTGGAACAAGCCAAAAATTGGATCTCACCAACATGTGCCCTCAACGGGCCACTAATGAAGGTTAATCACATGCCGTTTTTTTTTCCCTTGGCTGACCGAGAACAGACTCCAGTTTTATTAGAGTACAGAAGATGCGGGTAGTAAATTGAGCAGAACTTGGAGGTAAAGACTCTGTCAGATTGTCATAAATTAATTGCAATAAAAATATGGTACAGTGTGCAGGCAGGCCCATTCCAGATTATTTGATTGCTCCCTTAGAGTAAGGCTGGAGATATACAGCCCCTTACAAAAGTATCCATACTCTTTGATCTTCTTTATGATTTGTTGTTTTTTTCACATTATAACCACAGAATCAAAGTAATTCTATGTGATTGACTGACGTAATGAGGGTCATCCTTTTTGATGTGAAAATGTTTTAAAATGTGCCACACCAACCAAGACATTGTCGACCAATTTACAGTAACTGACACGTCTCAAGGAAGAGTATGAATTAGAGAGCAGATAATAGGCCCATTGTGACTCTGGGGGAGCTGCAGAAATCCACAGCTCAGGTGGGAGAATCTGAGGACAGACACCTTTCAAATGCAACAAATCTGGTCTTCCTGGAAAAGAGGAATTCTTTGTTGAAGTTGGGCCTAATTCTATCCCATATACAGCACGCAGCAAACATGGAAGAAGGTCCTCTGATCAGATGAAACCGTTCTGAGCACAAAATCCACTATGAAACATGGTGGCCGGAGCATGATGCTGTGGGGAGGCGTTTCTCAAACAAAGACAACTGCTCCAGGTGGTCAGACTCCATGGAAAGATGAATGGTGCCAAGTTCAGGATAATCCTGAAACCACTCAAAATGGCAGGAAGCTTCACCTTAAGGTCAGAATGGTTTACAGCCAGGGCTGCAACGGGGGTGTTTAGATTAAGAAATATACATGTAGTATCATTATTTCCTCTTTACAACTACGCTTCTATATTGGTGCATTACATTTTGTGGCTAAGACATGAATACTTATGCATTTTATCATAAAACTGACCCACTAATACAATTTAAGATATTCGGATGACAAGTGGAAAATATAGCCTCCATGATAAAAGAAAATCAGGGTTCAGGAATGTCTCAGTTAAGCCAATAGGAGTGGTTACTTCACTGTGGACAACCATTTTGGGCACGATGACAATGCAACTCACAGACCCTTGTCCCTTGCATGACTGAAAACTACAGTGTGTCACAGCGGGGAAAAGAAACCACATCGACGTTTAATCTGGGAAAATACAACAGAGTGGCCAGCATGTTTATTTAATATCGTCCGTTTCTCAGATCATTGCGCTCCTATAAAATGGTTCGTAAAATGATCAATGTGCTCTTTAAGACGGGGAAAGCCGATGTGGTGAGCGCTGGCGTCCACCAGTTGTTTTTAAAAGCAGAATGAAAAATCATTAAGGTCCACTTCCACAAACATGATACCAGCAGCAACGCGGGAGAAAAGGAGTAATTGCCCAAAGCTTGCAGGAGTAAGCTGGAGCATTGTGGCTTTGCGCTGGGTGTTGAGACCTTGTAACCGAAGCACTATGGAGAGATTCAAGAGGCCAAGCGGAGGGAGTGTAGCAGAGGGGGAGGCCGGACGATGGGGAAGTTAAGAAGAAGAAAAAGACTGGACAGGCAGAATAGGAAAGAGTGTTTAGAGAGAAGCACAACAAAAGGAGAGGCACCTCCCAAAGTCACACCGCCTGACCTCAGACGTCTCTTCAAAATGCCCACAAGAGTAAGAATCCCCACACAGGAAGCTCTCCACAAGCTGCTCTTTGTGTAGGAACGGAGCCATGCTTCAGTGTGGGCAGCGCTTCACTCTTTACTCTCACTCAGAAGCCAGAGTTACAGCTGGCCTTTTGGACTGCAGCAGGGACACACGTAAGAACTTGCATTCGCCCACACAGTCGCACACCCACCCAAACAACAACAACAAGAAAGTGAAAAATGTGGGTGCCACCATTTACATTGTAAGGCCTTGATATGCATTATCGGTTGTTTAATATGAATAAATCCTGTTTGAAAGTGAACTTGAAAGAAAAATCAACAAGACGCTAAAGGGAGGCTCCCTGGGAAAGTTCAGATTCCTTCTGTTCCTGTCGGAGAGGCTTCAAAAGGACAAGAGTGAAAGAACCGAGTTATGGAAAGAAAGAAGCACCAACACAGGAAGGTCGGATGTACCCGAAGAAAGAAAAAAAAAGAAGAGGATAAAAAGACACAAGGAGGTGATGCATAAATTACTCTCATGTGGTTTTGATCCTGAAAAGGCAAGCTTGTAAATAACACATCCGGTGATCCTTTAAGAGAGTCAGATCGTTATTCAAAGTTTTATTATGTCCAGCCATCCATGCTAGATCCCCGCCCCCAAGTGCATATTATGTTTGCTTTTCTAACTCCCATCTCCACCGCAAGAGAGTTAAGTTTAACAAAAAGCGCTTAGGGTGACTTAAAGCATTTCTACCTCTAACTGTGAGGTGGAGGAAAAGCTTTTCCATATAATTTTTTTTTGCAGAATGGCCCAACCTCATTCCAACATCCATTTTCCAACTTTTCTAAAGATTCTCAAAAGGATTCGGTCTGGACTTTGACTGGGTCGTTCTAAAACATCATAATGCACTGACATCATTTATTGCATTGTATAGCTGTTTGTTTGCTCACAGTGGGCCCAACTTAATCTCCTCTTCACTCTTTCAAATCTTAATCCAATTATCTTACCAACAAATCTAACCAGCCTCCCAATTATAAACAAATCTAAGGGTGCATATTCTGTGAATACATACATTTTACAGCAAATTCAAAAGGTTCTGCAAACTCATAAGTAAAACTAGCACAAAACTGAGACTGACACACACAACAGGCTAAGGAAAATTGCTGCAAGTACTAAAATTGCAAGTAAAGAACAGCTGCAAAGTAGGAGCTTTGGAAATGCTCCAGACTGAGGGAGAGATATTTATTAGCCAATATAGAATGAACCCTTAGTAAAGGCATAATCAGGATGCTAAGACAGTTTAATTGTTTATTTAAAAACAAAAAAATGTACCTTTGCTTTCTCTCGTCCAGGTGTTATCTGGACAGCATCTTATTTATGTCTTTGCAAAGGGGCTAGTCCATAGATGTCAAGTCGTAGTAAAGTATTCGTCTGGTCTCAGGAGCTTTTCCATTAGGAAGTGCTGTTTTGCAGCTTTTCTTAGCTTTCAGTTATTTTTGCTACTTGGAGTATGTTTTCTTTACCTGTGTTCTGCACGTTAGCATCATTTATGTTTTGCAATATTTTTTTTTGTGTTTGCAGCATTTTCTTTCACTTTGCTGCTCTCCATTTTCTGTGAGTGGAGACCTTCCCCTTTGCATCGTATTTGCTTTGCTTGCGTTAAGTTTCAGATTTGGGTTTGATGTAAAATCCTGTATTTACAGACCTTTTGCATGCTTGGTGCATGATGCTGTCACCACCCTACATTAATGTAGGGGTAGTGTGTTTAGGATGATATGCTGTGTTGTATGCATGCATTCACTGCATTCGTGTCTTTGAGGTAAACATGAAAGAGGATTTCTGAATGCAACTGGCCCCGATGAACTTTATTCAGTTGTATCAAGTTAATAAAAGGGGCAAAGTGCAAATGTATGACACACATTTAAGATATTTCCTCATAAATATAGTATATACTTTGACTTTCATCCCACGTCTTTATGTCAGTTACATAAAAATCCCAATAATATATATCATAGTGATTGTAATGGGAAAAATGGGGGGAAAAAATCAAGTCGAAATAATTTTTCAAGACACACCTTTTTTTTTTTTTTTTTTTTTTAGCTATTTAAGAAAAGCAGTATAATATGTCATCAGTCACTAAAAAGGTGAAACTCAATATCAACGCATTTACTGTAATTTCAACACTTGAACTAGATTCAACATGTACTTCAATTTCTTAAGAGCAACTTCTGCTAGTTTTCATTCCAAAGACAAAGGGTTTATCATACAAGTACAAAGCAATGAATAAAAAAGGTACAGGCATTGATACTGTGAAAGGAGGATAAATGATGCATCAACAACCTCCTATTAATCAGAAGCTGTGAGGATAAAACTGTATTTGTGGAAATAAGTGTCACATAACGCTGCCAATAGCTGGCGTTACCATGACTGCCTCTATGAGTGCAAACAAGTGTGAATGTCCAGGGTGTGCCAGTGAGCATGCCCCCATACAAAAAAACAACTAAACAAATCACTCCTTCCCTGAAGGCCACAAAGCAATACAGCTCAGCTAGATCAGCTGCAACAAGGCAGCACATCTGGATGTTAGTTTGAAAAGATAAGCCTGGCAAAAGGGCAGCAGGCACAGAGAGGATGAATTATTTGGCTTAAAGGGATCTTGGTACTCAGTCTTATAGCTTGACCCAGCTCTTAATGGCTCCTGGAAGCAACTTCAAAAAGATAACCAAGCAGATACTCCATAAAACACCAGTTTCTCCTCTGTCACCTGAGATAAGACAGGAGTTCAGACAGGGGGGTTAGGAGGGGGGATTATGTTTGTTATCTTGTAATGCAGCTGCACTTGAAGTAATGCAGCGATACGGCAAAACACTCTGACTGATCTGAAACACTTTGCTGCTACAATGACCAAGTTTCTCTTGGTATTTCGGAACTTTTCTCACAGATCACAAAGAGGTCCTCCAGACAAAAATACACTCATACCTAAGAGCCATTTAGAGAGACCAATAAACCA